CCCAGGTATTCAAAAGTTGGTCCCACGGTATGACAAATGTCTCGATTCCGGTGGCGAATATGTTGAAAAATAGCTGGACACTTGCTGTATCTGTTGCAATAAATATTTCCATGAAATTGTGTTTTGTTTCTGTAAACGGCCCCAGGGAAACTTACTTTGAGGACGCGCCTCGTAGTATTGCCATCTTACAGGTTTCGCAAACAGCTAATAACTAACCCCATACGCAGTTTAATGTTTTAATTCTCTAGTTAGTTGATGTTTGAACGCCATAAGTTATGAACTGTGACATAAAAGAAAGATAACGAAAATGATGAATTGCTATGAATACAGATGATATTAAATTGTGACCTATTTCAATGTAGCGCAACAGAATCTTACTGAAGTGACGGAGGAAAATCACGAAACGCGTTATTTGCGAAAAACTCTGTCTACGTGCCAGTGTTTCAAGTGAGAAAAATGCATCAAAGATAAAGGAGTAGATTATACGCACATTTTCGCTGGATTCAAATATGTTAAATATTTTTGTGTACCCTGTACAAAGTTCTTATTCGTTACAATTACTAAAAAAAAAACAACGACAGGACTGCAGAATGATTAGCAGAATTAGCAAGAGGGCGGAGACAATTTGAAGCCGAATATCATCTAAATAATGTTCAGTAACTTTGTCCGGTACCGCAAAGTAAGCACAAAACGTCGTCATAAAAATATCAACTGTTTAATGATATTAGTGGAAATAATCCATATTTACGGTGAGAATTACAAGAAACCTGAAAAAACAAAATTCTCAGCTACTGATCATTGAAACAGGTGTTAAAAATAGTTCCCAACAGTCTTCAAGGGTCATTGAGGAGGCTTACTCATTATCAAACATTGTTACTTATCAAATTAAGATGGACGGAGCATGTAACACGCATGATTACATCAAGAATGCATTAAAAAATGTTGTCTCAAAAATCAAAAAAAAAAGTCAATAGTATTGAAATGGATTCTGAGATACAAGTCGTGACTTTCCGATTGGATTTAGCTAGCAGCGATTGAATTACGGTTTCAAATAACAGCAGCGGAACTACTTGAACAGCTAAGTTGGGAAATTGGAATTTACGTGACGCAGAGACGAAACTTGTCTCGAGACTGCGTGTGGTCAGGTTATAATGAATAATGAATGAGTGGCGACTTAGGTCATCAAGGTCATAGCGTGACATCTAACCATTCACGCTGTATTTGGCCGGAAGCGGTATTAAAACTTGCCAGTTCGAGACAGCGACCTGGGGCGTGATCCCAGGGGAAGCCCCACATTTGAATCGTCTTTACTTATTACGCAACTTTATGCCTGTACCGGACTCAAAATATTTTTTCCTACGTCTCGTTGCTCTTACCCTTAAAGCTCCTAATTTTTGTACTTAAATTTCATCTTCAACAATTATATAAAATCTAAAACTTCTTGACGATGGTGAAGAGTCAATTGAATAAAAATTTCCTTGGATATTATCCATCGTCTAGTAATAAAACGTAAAAAACGTAAAACGACGTTTCGGAGATGGGACTCTATCTCCGTCTTCAGGTTCCTACTCAGTTGGGCCCACTAGATAGAGCTAATCCCTATCTCCGGACGATAATATCCAAGTAAATTTTTATTCAATTCAACAATTATATCTAAATTAATTTCAAACCCATCCTTTGTATTTTACTCTCTTCGAAAATATGTCTGGTACTAAATTTCTGCTGCAGAATTACGAGTGATGAAAAATATCCTGTATTTACTACCTTTCGCCTCTTACATGGTCGAATTATACATATCGGTACGATTTTCGATATGAACAGCATAAGAGTGACGTCATCTCAAACATTTATGCTATAAAAATAAGTTATAAATAACGGAAACATAGAAAAAGCTTAATTTATTATATTACTTTATTGTACATAGTAAGATAAAAACATGGCGACCGTGCGGAACACGTATCGACCATTTTTTCTCATTACGATAACTATTATATTATCACGAACCACCGAAGACATGTGTCTGAAATTTGATGTGGCGTTGTTATACATTTTGTGCGGACATTTTTGTATGTAGAATAACATACGAGACGGTTTCATGAATATTTTCTTGTTGAAACGTAACCAATTACGTAATTATTCTCGGCGTAAATGCCGTTGGTCCCAATTCGTCACTCCGGCCCCCCCTCCCCCCCCCCCCCCCCCCCCGGGCCGTGTTTCAAGTCGCCCGGTGACCTCGACAATCAGCTGACCTGATCTCTCGTCGTTTATTCAACCCTAAACCGATCTCGAATGCAATTAAAACAGAGCGGCACGCTATTATGCATTTTGCGTGGACATTTTATTAAGGAGAAAAGAGCACATAGCGTATTTATTATAGTTTACTTAGTGACCATGTTTGGGGATATTAATGGCTTCTCACACGGAACACTTGCTAATAAACTGCGCATCAGACCAGTGTTTGTCAGCTCTTCAGATGAAAATCATTCGGCTAAACGAACTTGTTATGATCTGAATATATTACACTTAATATATGAACACTTAAAATTATTTTTTATTTTGACTTTTGAACACAGGATAGTTTCGAAATGTAGCTCAGGGTTTAGTTGTGTTTATTAACTAAATACGTGACACGTAATTGTATCACGTGTCGCTAAACACAAAACTCACGTGGCAGAAAAATCCAAGTAACAAAGACTATCAATAAGATCTTTAGTAGCATTCGTTCAAAATTTTACAGTGCAAGTACGATGATTCATCACCTCAGAATTAATTCTCAGGTGTAGGTGCGTTTGGTCTAAAGACGATGGAGTCAGTGCGCATGCTCCATGCTTTCAGTACCCCCCCCCCCCCCCCCGCCTTTGGACAGAGAACGCATTAGCTGTCCTTGGGATATTCATAGTGCTGTGTTTCTATACGGAGACAAGTCGATGTTTCAAATGAAGATGTAAACATTCATTCAAGAACACTGCACCCTTCAAAGCTATGCATAAAGCTGACTATAGAAGCCGATAAAATATTCAAACTGTCATAAAATATATTAAATAAAAATACTGACATTTGTACGAATAACCATCTACACCATAAATTATCACAAATACTTCTATGTAATTAATAATTCGAGGAATTAACTTTGGGAAATGTTTCTTTCAAATACGCAAGAACACAAAAAAAATTCAAAGGACGCGTTAATGTTGATGTCATAATTTAACGATTTCGATTATTCAAATCCTAAGACATGACGAAATAACTCCGAAAATTACATTTTCAGTAAAGAAGAATAAGCACTGACCTGTGATTGCACTGCTGACAGGCGAAGCACTCCAGGTGATAGACGTTGTTCCTGGCCCTCATCACCATCTCGAAGGCCGGGATCACTTTAGAGCACGCAGCGCAGTGTCCAGTGTTGCCAAACAACCTGCAAAGATATAACATAAATCAAGTTGCCAGTGTAACTTTTACGTGCCTAAAGTTGTGACATTTATATAACGTTTAAAACACAAAATGCATTACAGGCTTAAAGGCCGAAACTGGTTGATACAGTTTAAGAAAATAATCGCTCTTGATTGCGAAAATCATGAAAACTACATATATCAAATACAAAGTTAATGATGGTTAAAGTAATTGATACAGGTTTAAACTGGCTAGGGACAGTGTCCGAGAGTAAGCTTTTACGTTTGACTGTATTCATCTGCTTCATGGTAGGGACAAGTGGCGGGCTCTTGTGAACGCGTTAATAAACCTTTAGGTTCTATGAAAGTTGCTAAATTTATTGACTATATGTTAGAAAGCCAGTTGGTGAACCCGTTCGCCATTCACCTAGTCAGTCATGTATTAGTTCGTTTATCTATACGTTTCTGTACTTCCCCAACGATTGTGTACAATGTATTTAACTTGTCTTGTCTACTCGTTATCTCCGAATCGCTCATTCAAACTCCAAACAGCAAGTCGTGCTGAATGTTTCTCACCCCTGGAGTGGCAGTCGATAAATCAGAGTAGCATTTAGCCATCATAACACATAAAGCTTTTCTTTTGTTTGCACAAGGCTACAACATTTCCAGTGGACACTCACAGATGGCGACATCTGTCACACAAACCCCGATATCGTAAAGGACCACACCGGACTTTATGTCCAAACAAATATTTACACTTGCTGGTCTGTTAGCAGAAGGAATTACTGTGATAGCTGCTATAATTTTAAATTGGTTTGTTCTAGCTTCCTTAAGGGCGGCCACAAAGTTTATATTCATAGGCAGAAACTGTTCTGTGCAAAGCTTAACTAAGGTTTTCACCGACAGATTCTAATATTACTAGTATTTTCTGTCATAAAAGTAACGCTAGTAGAAGTTATGAATTCATACTTTCGGGAAACGATTTTCGAAATGACTTCACAAATCAAGATTATTGATTTATTAAATATAATATAATTTAAATATTAACTTAAGGTTTAAATGCTAATTTTGCTAAATTGCAGGCAATATGAAATATAGATCCTAAAGAAGAGACCATTTTGAGCTGTAATTTTTCAATTTATACCCCTTTACCCTGGCACCGGCAAATCATTACGCACTGATGCAACTTGTATCTGCGTTCATAACACTGCGCAACAAATTTTTGGGTCATTTCTTGTTATGGGCATGAAAGTAAGTTTGCGTTTTTACATTTTGGAGTGCTAAACACGGAAATAGTGCTTAAATTGGCAGATTGGCTCTTGTTTTCGTAAAAAAAAATAGTTTGTTATATTTATACAAGGTATTTCTTAGTTATATAGCAATAAGATATAAGTTACGAACATACTTTTGTCAAACACAGCGCCTTTTCGCCTTTCGCGTGTATTTAGGTTCTGGAGCATCCCTTTTCACCATAAAACAATAATCGGCTAACATGCCGGCACTCAATTTGCTTTTGTATCTTTGCTCCATCGCTGAGATGTCTTGATGAAAACGCTCACCATGTTCGTCGCTGAGGGCACGACAGTTTGACGGGAATAAATCCAGGTGTGAGTACAAGAAATGTTTCTTCAATGACATGTTTTCCATAAGAAGTCAGTGAGTTCACCTCCAGTTTGATAGAATTCATCACAGTCTTTATTTCGACTACGAAATGTTGTCACTTTCACAGAGTGACCTAGAAGATTACATTGTTGTAGCCTCGAGGCCAAAAGCTCTGCCGTATTCTTCGGCAGTTCAAGATCCCTGATGAGGTCATTAAGCTCGCTTTCTGTGATCGTATGTGTTTCAGAAGGATAGAGGCTCGTACAAAATGGTGGATCCCTTGACGTAAATAGCTCCGTGTATATCAAGCTCAACATGAACATCATCAGTGGCTTCATCGTCATCGGAGTCCACAGAAAGACTTTCGGGTGGTACAGGAATAGGTAGTAGTTCACCGTGAGGGACGGGGCGAATTGCAGATGGCTCCCTCCATACCATGGGCACTGCTAAAGGCACAGAACGTCCCATACGATTCACCCACGCGTTGAGTTTTGACGAACAGGTAGTGCAGCTTACGTGTGGAGCCCAGTTCTTGACCTAATCGCCTACTTTACACCCAAAGTACAATTTGTAAGCCTTTTTTATGGACTGAGTTAACTTACACTTTCTAGAAGCAAACGTGACTTCTCCACGTACGTAACAGAAGTTATCAGGACTATTCACACAATTACATGAGACAAATACTGCGGAAGAAGTAGGAATCTCACAGAACATGGCCGGATTCGATGAATAGCTCAAGAGTTGAAGACGCATTTGAGGCGGCAACAACTTATCACGTAATACAGAGCGGGATGACTGTTGCTGCTCACGTTTAAGAGCCTGGTGGTACTATAACTGATGATAATGTAGAGAAAATCGCTAATATGAGACCCCAACCGTAAACAGCATCCTAAAAATTAGTCAAGATTGGTTAGTTTCGTTTTCATAACATTTTACGTGTCCAACATTGTAATCTCCATTACCTTAAAGTTGTCTTCACATAGCGAATGTTTCGCATCGTCGCTTTGTTTGCAGTTTTAAATATAGTTTCCATGTAGGCCTTAATTTATTCTAGCATCCTACCAGTTTTGCATGTCTTCCTATAATTATAGACAACGAAACGTATACTATGACGATTCAGTGTTGCTGTCAATGTGAATACTCCGACATTTCAGGATGTTACACGCAGAGCCGCTAGTGTCGCTCCTACGCGGCCTTGCTGTTGCTACTGGTATCGGCGGGCACACGATACAACGGGCCGTGTCTTATCTGTACGTGCTTGGCCGTAGAATCTTAGCTGGCCACGGTATTAGGCCCAAAGCTTCAAAGTTATTACCTCAAAAGTCCGCTATTGCACACTATTCAAAGTTGGTCTGTCCGGTCCATGAAATAAAGTTACCATCTTCATGACTACTGCGTCCTATTCAAAAAAGCAGTTTTTTTATATTTTCCCATTGCATGCTAGGGCTTGTACGTCCAACCCAAAATAATTTTCCAGATATTAGTTGTTTTTGATTTCCAGTCAATTAAACTAAAATTTCTTAATCAGACCATAACATGATTTAAAATTTATTCAAGGCATTGACGTCAAAATGGTTGCTATCTGCTCGATATGAGGAAGATGAAAAATGCAACAAGAATTTTTGGCATTTTCTAATCATGCAGGGATGGAAATGGGAAGACAATATTAAAATTTTTATGAATTTGAGAGGATGATTGAATTGGCTTATAACAATATTCTGTGGAGATTTTAAGCACCTGAGGTGGAAGGACAAGGGCGAATCCTTAGGACCCTCTGGCTAAGGGAACTGACTCTGACGAGAATAATGGCACTTGGAACTCTCAGGCTGTAGTTACAGCAACTGGTGTAAGGGACGGGTAATCCTGAGAAGAAAAGTCCGCTACGTTCCGGGCTATGGGAGAGTGTAGTTACACTTTCAATTTGAAAATTTATTCACATTGAAGCCTCAACTGTACCTGAGGTAGTCTCTCCTGCAGAGGATGAGGTCCGCCTTCGTGTAGAGCGTGGAGCCTACCTCTCCCAGTCTGCAGTCGCAGCAACCGCACTTGAGACAGTCCTCGTGCCAGAAGAGGTCCAGCGCCTTCAGCAGAAACCTGCAATGGCAGTCAATTCAAAGTCCGCTGACAGCACAGGGCAGTGTTACTTTTTGGCTTCAGTCGGTTTATAGTGGGCCAGAAGCAAAATCAAATTTTAGTTTTGAGCATCAGTCAACCAAACGTAGCGCCGGACAAAATTATATTTCATGGGATCTTCAGTTGTTTCAATGAAAACCTCAATTACGTAAAAAAAGAATATATAATTTATTAAGTCGGCGACGTTCATAATATAACGACAGTTCGCATGTTATTGTCGTCAAAGGCACAATGATTTTGTAATGGGTTATCTTGTGGCCAATTTACGTTTTGTACTCGCGGATTACATACCGATGTTTCGAAGGCTGTGACTCAAGGAAGAATATAATTTATCCAAATTTGTTTCTGATACTTTGTACACGTGTCAGAATAACCCTGTTCTGACTAAGCAAATAAAACCTTGTTTTATTATCACTCGACATGTCTCACTTTCATGTAACTCAGTACTCTTATAAGACACAAATAAATGTATATCGATACTTTGGACAGTAGTCACAAATGAAACAGCCTTTTACTTTTGTGTTTTCTAATATGACTTCTTTCCACTCAGTTAATACAAGGGGTTATCTATATATAGTACAGATTTTAACTGCAAGCTACTTGGCCCACTTCAATTCGACTGAATCATGTGGAGACGAATCTAACCTTTCTGTGATCTTCTTGCCGCAGCCAGCACACTCTTGCGGTGAAGTGTTCTTCTGCGTCTCCGCTTTCACATCCATCGTCATCATGACACCTGGAAGAAAAAATCAGGGTCTAATCAGTCAAACTGCTTCTTCTGCATTGATTTGTAAAACTCAGCTTAAATAATCACCAACCGTTTCCATGCTGATTAATTTTGTAAAAAGCCCCTGTTATATTTTACCCATAAAACCTAATTATTCGTATTACTGGAAAGCTAGGAACAGATTTATAAGATGATGGCGGGTCACATTAATTTCGATTACATTTTGAAGTAACTAACTCCATAGTACATAGTCCTTTTTGAAAGCTAATAGTCGCCCAATCTTCTACGAAATCCGAACGTTCATTATCATGTTCTCAAGACCCCGTCAACGGAACGTAACGTCAAGTCAACGCCTAACTTTTCCGAAAGGTTACTTTCGTCAGATTTTTAAGCATTATTTTATACGAATGTTTCATATCTTTCTTGCGTGCTAAATGCCTGACTATTCTCATCCTCCGTGATCTGATCTTCCTAACAATCTTAGGCGAAGAACACAAACTATTTTTGATGTAGAAACTGCACAAAAAACTCGAATGCTAGTGACACTGGCGTCACCTGCAACGCTGAGGACAGTTTCGGCAGAGATTCGTGTTCAGTCGGGAGAGATCGGGCCTCGTGCAATCATTTTCCACTGGACGTACTTGAAACTGCTGGAAACTCTGTCAGCATCTGCTGTGAGTGAACGAACTGCTCAAAGCAGACCGCGCCGCTTTGTAATTGATAACTAATGTTATCGTAGTGAACACAGTTAAAATCGGAACGACACTCTGTGTCACTGTTGATGTATATTTCTGCTGGCATCATCAGCAAAACCATGCAGAAAATACAGAGTTCATTTTAGAGGCCGTACGGACTGTTAAATAAAATCGAATTATGACGTCACCATTTTCGAATCGCTTGAGCAGTACTTAATTCCATCCTTACATATTGTGCTGCACCTCATTATGAATTTTTTATACACCAAAATATTCTCCTCAAAATGAATTTGTCCTTAAAAGTAAGTGACCAGGTTCACACGCACATAAAAACAAGTAAAATACAAATGTAATAATTTTAGATAGCAAATGGAAAGGTAAAAGGTTTTCTGACTGGATGGTAGCAAACACGCCTCAGATTGAAAAAGAAATACCAAATATCGCTTGCGTAGGTTATAAAAAGTTAATGAACGAAGATTCAATGCAGAAAAGAAGGCAAAGTACAGAGTTTTCGTGAAACTGTGGCGTTACAATAAAGTGGATGGGGTGTCTTAGCGGACGTCAGCAAATGGATGAATCTTCCTTGGGTTTGTAGAGATAATGTCAGAGGAAGGGGGTTTCGCAAGGGTGGCTGAAGTCCGATTCATAAGCCGGCAGAGAAGTGACTTATTTGAAGTTACTCCAACTGGACTCGTTGGGGTGCAACCGCAGCGCCACGCTCGGCAGACAGCGCAAACAAATAGCCCTAGTTGTGCAGACCGCAGACACAACTTGTACGTTCCGGTATGAGCCGCCAGGAGCGCTGTTCCAAACAAAAGAAGCAGCGGAAATATAGCTACTTGCATGCTGACTGTCGATAAATTAGACAAATAAAATATTTTACGATTTATGTGCATACGTAAAGACACAAAAATCGGTAAGAACGAAACGCTTTCTGTGGTCTAAACGCTGAATGGATTAGAAGGCTATGTGGGCCTCATAACCGGTCAAAACGCGGCGATGAAAACAAACTTTTATACTATTACTGGAAATGTAACTCCAACAAGGATTTATCCAATGGGGAAAATGGGCAGCTGCCCGGGGAACCCTGATTTTAGAAGCCCCACTGTGTGAGCTTCGACACGATATGCCCAAACATTGCCAAACTATGCAATCACCTCTTAATATTATATTTTCGTATTTCTAGTCTATGCTACAGCAAGTTTCCAATAATTACGTCACATGTCACTAACATACAGACGAATAAACCGTTCCCTTTTGTGATTTAACATGTCAGAAACACAATACGTAGAAGAAAAGAAAATGGGCGATGTAAGTGGCAAGATTTTACTTTGTCCAGGATCCACTGTTGAAATAATACGGCTCTAAATCCTGCATTTTATAGTTATAAGGTTATATTTTGTTCACGACATTTCAGAAACAATTTCTAGATGAAATGTAGAACACAATTATATGATTCAATTTCGACTAGTAGCAGCTGAATTTGTTGAAAGATAATTTTTATTTCGTGCAAGAGATACAGATACCTTGAACTTCATAATTTGTACTTTTACCCAACGGTATTAAACCAATTCAAGCAGATCATAAGATCTAATACAGAAGAATGCCCTTCACATATAAAAATTGACTTGGAAGGATATCAGAATTTCTCGACTTTCACAACCAAAAACCCGAATGAGTACGTAGAAAATATTTTTTTGGAGGACAATATGCAAGAACGTCTTTTACATACGCAGAACCGTTCAGAAATTATAGAAAATTTAATCTCTATATTCTCATAAGCATAGGCCAAATGTATATGTAACCAGTATATTTTTGAAATACACATGCAATCATTTTCTTCGTATTTGTAAAACCGTTCCAAAAAAGACGATCACTTCGATCAATCGATTGTCACAACCTTCGAATAGTAGCTTTCTCCAGTGATGAATTTCTAGTCTGATATTTGTTTAATATGTCCCTGTCTAATCATCCGTCTATGAATTGTCAAAAACACTAGTCACTCACAAGAAGGAGGTTACTATTTGTTTCTGCGCCAGCTGGTGGAGCGAGTTGTGTGGTTTGAATTTTCAAGTGGACCTGAGGGGAAAACCCGCCACACGTCATTCCTATGGCCCCCCAGCAGCTGCTGCTGCCATCTACCGCAATATCAGACGACAAAGCGACTCTCATGTGTTTGTAGATGAGCAAAGTTCCCTAAAACTAGGAGCTCTGTTTGATCGTAAATATTGCTCGGAATACACAGAGAAATTATTGCTATACTGTCTGAAAGTGAGTCGTCAGCTTTCTCGTACTAACACTTACAGAGACTTTCAGTGTTTATTACTAAAACGTTTCAGTCTGACTAAGGACCCACAGAATATATATAACTGAGGCAGTTTTTTTTAAAAAAAATATAGTATTTTAAATAAAATTTTGTTTTTTAGTATTTTCATAGTAACTTACGATCGCCACCACTGAAAATCCTGAAACAGTTAATGAGTTAAAATTCCTCAAGATTACAGTGAATATTTTATTACACCTACACTTAGACTTAAGTTATATATTTGTTTAAAAACACGTCTTAAAACATCTCAAGTTTAAAATTTAAAATGTATCGGTGAAGAATGAGACTCGAAAATGGGTATCATTTCTATTTCTTACTCATGAAAACTACACCCTCCCCAATTACTCACCAAAATGAAAAAGTCTGATACTTCCTAGCATTTAGAAATACCTTTGTTTTCTATTTATCAGTTTCTAGCATTATTCTAACAATCATTTTCTAGAGACACATTTCATTTACATTTGATATTTAGTTTATTAAAAATTGATGTAGAAGATTAATGTAATATACACATGTGATTTAAAAAATTACGGAATTTAATTATTTTTGGGAAAATTATATTAAGAAATACCTTAGGAGACAGCATGTTACCTAGTGTAATACATGAACAACTTAGATACAATTCTTTGTTGCGAGTCCAAGCAAGAGTCTGGTCAGAGTACAAATCACAGCAGAAGGCGAAAATGCCGGCTGGTCTGGCCTATTATTAGATGAGAATTAGAAATCGATGGAACAATGACTGACAGCGGAAAGCCTATCAGCTGAAGTTCTTGGGTCGAAAGCATCTGTGCAAATACTCGACTCGTGGGATGACGAACACGGAGTTCGCAGCGACTATGTGAGCTCAGTGCAGTTGTATTACAGAAGTTACACGAACAAGAGAATGGAAAGTCAGATTACATCTTTCATTGGATAGTTGAAAAATGTGTGAAGTTTGTGGAGACGACAAAGTTGGTAAAGTGGAAGATGGATCATGCGAGATAGTGTAGGTAGCTGCGCCATCTTGATACAAGCGAAACCATTCCAGCAGGTTCACCGACAAGCCAATACAGAACAGAGCGAGTCTGTGCAAAGTCGTGGTACGACTGAATCTTTCTAGACATCTGTACCTGATGGAGCTGTGGTCAGTTTCAGGATCTTAGCCATCTTGCTAGCCGGTAAATAGCTCTAGGAATAATGCACAGGCGCTAACACCATAAGAAACTGGGCCAACTGAACCCAGTCAACACTTAATTTTTTAAAGGGTCCGAGGTTTTGTAATCTGTTTATTTTCTTTGGTCTTTCAAACTGATTCTACGTGTATTCTTCATTCACCCATGCATGCTAGATGTCCTTCCAAGTAATTGATCTGGAGTCAATCTCCGTAATTATATTAAGCGAAGAGTACAAATTATGAAGTCTCTGTAAGCAATTTTCCCTAGGTTTTTGCTAATTTCTTCTTCTCAGATCCACTTACTTTCCCGGGATCTTGTTCTCAGACACCATAAGTGTATCTTCTCCTCCTACGGTAAGACGGCCTATTTTATAAACATAAAAATGAACAGCAAAATCATGCTTTTGTGGACTTTAATCTGCAAAAGTAGATATTCTGAAACGACTGTTAGAAAAAAGGTTTTCCGAATTTAATCTGTTCCTTATTGTATTCGTAAATAAAATTTAAAAATGCTAAATTCGTTATAAGATATTTAAATTTGCCATACTTTGGAAGGATTTGTTGGTTATAACAGGCCCTATAATATTGTTACGCATTCAGTTGACGAAACAAAAAATATGGGTATTTAATAATTTTCACTGCATTCTCTTCTAAACAACCATCTTCATTAATAGAGTCTAATAGAGTTCTTTGGTTTTTTATGTTATCAGTACTTTCGACCAATAAATTACCAGCATCAGTATAGATTAGAAGAAGTAAGAGTCCCATTTCAATTCGAGTCATCTTCAGCTATTTCGTTTAAAAAAAATTTTGATCAGCCATACCTTTTCAGTTT